ACTGCTATCTAAAGAGAGATAAAATTAGGGAGAGTTGTGGCTTATAGTCTTTTTTTTTTTTAACTTGTTGTAAAAAGAAACATATCCTACTGCTTGTATTTTAGTTATATGCCAACCTTCTTCCCCCTCCTTCTCACTGTTTACAGAAACAACATTGCTCGGTATATAGACTTCTCTCCTTGCTTGGATGTGTATCTAAGTTGAACATGTGGGAAAAGATATAAATAATTGAAATAGTTATAAAATTTGATTGAGTGTTAGAATTGTATAAAAATAAAGTGTCATCCTATAAAATACTCTGAGAACTGTTTTAGAATCCAGGAAAGGCAAACAATTGCATTCTGAGTTGGGCACAGTTTTAAGATTGGGGCCTCCAAGAGTCAGCAGCTACAGCATATGTTAGGGTATTTGGAAAGTGAAAATTTTACACTTTAGTTCTAACTTTGCAAACTTTCATGAAGGAAGACAAAAACTGGGGCATAGAATAGGTGGGGGATAGTGAGCTTCTTTGTGTAAGAGGAATAATATTGAAATGTTGCAATAAACACTGGGCTCAAACAGTGGGACATGAAGTAGGTTGAATGACCCCACCTTGCAACATCTCCCCTCATTGTTCCTCTCTCCTCTCATGATGCTGAACCTGGGGCTTTGCACACAACAAAATTCACATGCCCAGTCCCTTGGGGTTCTGCCTCAACCAAGAGAAGCAAACCTCTGGTGTTAGGAACTCCTCCATTCACCTGCCTATATTTCATCCAAAATCATTGACTTGGTCCCTCTTGTTTTCAACTTCCCCATTTCTTTGCTTGAATTCTGAGTTTTCCTCTATGGTGCAGCAATCCTGTGAGCAATCTTCTGGGTGATGTTCTGGTGCAACCTGGGCCCCAGGCCACACTCCCTTTGTGTGTTATTTTCATGGAGAGTCAAGAGGTCCTTTCCCTTTCTCTCTGCCTCCAATACAGTACTTAGGTGAGTCTGGTCTTAAAGATGGGACAGGGATTCTTGAGTCGTTAGCTGTAAACGTAAGTCATTATCCTTTACAATGACATTTGTTTTTCTAAAAGAAGCCTTTATCCCCCCCAAAATGCATATTTAGGGAATTTTATGCATCAAAGGCTAAATGTGGCAAGGTTAACTTTGGTTGGAAATCCTTGACAAGCTATATCATCCCTGAGAAAAATAGGACATTCAGCACTATGTCCCTGAAATACTTCTTTGTATTCTCAAAATTTTTGCCAAGTCAAGGGAACATGGTTAGTGGAAGGGACTGGAATGTCCACATGAGCGCTGAAGGACAGTGGGAACTGAGTAACTACTGTTATTTGTAGAAACTGCCTTTCTGCCTATATGCTAAGTCTGCTATTCTTTGAAATGTTGGTCATATAACGGAACAAAGCAAGCTAACAATGCCAGTGCTTATGAAGTTTTATTCTACGAACACCCTTCCTTGTGGAAACTGGGCATGGAACAAAACACTGTGGAGTGTAATCCAACTGCCCACCACTGGACATTATGAGTGCCTTCTGGCAGTTTTCTGTTTGGTCACCACTGGACTTCCTGATGGTTTTTTGTCTGGTTCACTGACACTGGACCTTGCCAGTGATCTGTCAAGCATGTTATCACTGGATCCTACCCTTGCCTGTTAGTAAATCTAACTTAACCTTACTCTTTTCTGTTCATATATATTGAATCTTCATTCTATCTCTGGGTATATTCTTCAGTCTCTTAGCACTCCATTGCTCAGAGGATGGGACACAAGTTCTCTTCAAACCATAGTTAGAAGCTGCCTGCACATCCCAATTGTAAGGATGACTACAGAAAGCATGAGGACAATTTACCCTTTAAAATAAGTTTCTGATCTAATGAAAGTATGGAAATTTGCTAATCCTGGAAACATGACCTTGTGAACACATCTGGCAATGTGTTTGAGGAGGCCATGTTAGCTTGGACTGTGGCACCTGTAAGGGATATGATGAATAAAGGAGATAGGAGAGGATCTTGCTTACGACCTTGGGCTTTGGAAGCACATATTACTGAGATTCAGTTCTGGTAATGGAATCTCAGACAAGTAACATCAACTATGCCTGCCTCGTCTCATATTAAATTCAGAAAAATAATGAGGCTGACTTCATGGCATATGAAGATCGAACTTGATAATGTATGCAAAGTGCTTGGCATGAGAGATCTTGAATATGATAGTATTGTTAGTATCACTATTTTATTATTGTAACATTTGAGATGGGGAGAGGGGAGGCAGCAGTTCTATTTTCTACTTTTGGGGGTTCACACTTTTCTGGAGCATGTTAAAACATTCTCTCCTTTCACTAACACATCCTTTTCCTCTATCAGACAAAGACTTTGGGGGATATCTTACTCTGTCCTTTTCTCCACCCTATTTAGTAGACAGATGCAATCCAGGAAATATGAATGTGTAGTGTCAAAGAAGTCTAAGCATGAAAGAAACACAGAGGAGAGGGCAAGGACTGTCTCCTCATGGGTGATAGCTAGGGATGGACATTTGTGAATAGGGATGAATTCTCATTACCATGATGTCTTAGTTTGGCTGCTATCAGAGAAGCCACAAACTAAGCAGATTAAACAATAGAATTTCATAGATCTGGAGGCTGGAAGTCCAAGATCATGGTGACAGCACGATCAGTTTCTATCAGGGCCCTCTTTCAGGGCTGCATTTGGCAGTTTTACTTTGTGGAGAGAGAAGCAAGCTCTCTCATGCTTCTTCTTATAATGACTCTAATCCTATCATGTGGACTCCGCTTTCATGGCCTAATCACCTCTTCAAACCCTGTATCCTAATACCATTACAATGAGGGTTTGGTTGGAGTTTCAGCATATGAAGTTGATGGGACACAAACATACAGTCCATAGTACATACCCAGCCCCCTATTGATTAGTGCATAAGGAAGGTAAAACCTAGAGATTTCAGCAGGGAATGTGTCAGGAGATGAGGGCTTCCAAGGATAGATGCAGGATTGGATTAAAGAATGGAGAAAAAAATGGGAAAGGGAAATAAAAATAGGACAGGAGACACATGTACACAATGCAGACAACCTAAACCAGAATATGTCTGAATGAAAATCCACAGAGCTAGCAGAATACACACTGCTAACATACTTTGGAGAGTGACAGGGAGAGAGGGTTGCCAGCCAGTTGCGTTCATGTCATGGCTAATATCCTTTAGTCACTGGTTCCTAATTAGCAGTCTCTTCTCTGTTTAAGCTGCCCAGCTTGAGAGAGAAGCCAGAACCAGAAGTTCACAACCCCTTTATGTTGAGAGATATGATTTATCATAGCCTCTTTCCTCTTCTTTCTGTTTTCCTGAACTGTGCAGAAATAAATGATGGTGTCTCAATGCCTTTGGACGTTTGGGAAGCAAGGTTTATAATCAGATGCTCCCTTCATGTTTGAAGATGGAGAGGAACATTCTCTGTGCATCTCTATCTCCCCAACCTCTGCTTGGGGTCATGACTTGAAATACAGTTCTTGGGTTCCAGGGTTGAGGAGGTCACTCACATATGTATACTCTATTTATGAAAGGGGTTTGAGGTAGCACAGGGGGAGGATTACCAAAGCCAGATGGCTTTAGGCACCTATAATTCCATGCAGATCACATGTGGTGAGGAATAAATGCAAACATCTTTATGTTTTTACAGAATGTCTGTACTCCACATCTTTTATTATTTGTTGACCTATAACTAAGTTGTAGTCCTTCCTTTCCTTAGCTAACAAATATCCATCTTTGCATGGAGAAGAGAGAGCATACTCCATCATTTGGTATTTTTACTTCCACAAGTATTTGTAATGGATTCTACAGTTTTAACTCATCTGAGTACCTGATTGGAATTATAATTTTATCCTGAGGCCGTTTTCTGCTTCCAAGCAGCCAGTGTGGTTCTTCTGGGGCTCATCTGCTTCTTAGTGTGCTTGGAAGGTCTCAAGGCTCCTTGTTCCTCTCCTATAAGTAACTTAATGTCTCCTCTTTCTAAGGAATAGGGAGTTAATGATTCGTTTTGAGGAGATTCAGGTTTAATTGCACCACTTATCACAAATGTGTTTTATATATAATTTGTAAGGATCTTGAACGTAACTTATGGACTTGAAGCTTATCCAGGAACCTCACATAAGATGCCTTAATTTAAATAGAAACATCTTTATTATTAGTTTGCAATACTATTGCAGGTAGCTGTCTATGCTTACCTTAAACTCCTTCTTCTAGTACCTTTACAATCCTTGTCACCAACATTCTATTAGAAGCTGCTCATTGCTCTCTTGCTGGTGCTGCCTGAGGGGTGAGATGCCCCAGGGTATGCAGGTGACACAGAGGGTGCAAGTGGGCCAGGAACAGAAGCAGGTTGCTGGGCTCACATGATTACTACTGACATTTCCAACCAGCCAGGGATTCCCCATGTGATTTTGAACACAGAGGACTGAACTGAAGCTCAAGTGAGAAAGTGGGTGTTGAGGACTGTGGTCATCTGATGGCCTGCAGCTATAGTGCTTTAGGCTTCACCACAGAGTTCAAGGGCAAACCACTGTCCCCAGAGAGCTCCAACCAGCAGCCAACTGTGGTGAAATGCCAGGCTCGGTCAGTTTCTCTGGGTAGTCTCTGAGCACTGTTGTGTTCACAAATGAGCTGCCATGCAGTTTGGGGCTTTTCCTTTGATTCCTAGATCCTTTCCAGGTGTTAACCCTTAACCAGACCCAGGAAATCTCTTGCACTTCTGATACTGCCTTGGTATCTGCTTCTTGGAACAGCCTGCGCCAAAACAGCTCTAATCACAAGTGACATGGCTGGTCACTTCACACAATCTCATCTCAATTTCTCAAATCTCAGCCTGGAAACACTTCTCAGATCCCACTTGATCACAGAATTTGAAATTTCCTGGATGCTCCATCCATTTTCGTCCGTCTAGCTATACAAATGATGTAGGTTTCCAGCATTATCCTATCCAGTCTCTTATAGTTTCTGTTCCCTAGAGAAGAGACAAAGGCACGAGATGGTGAAAAACATACTTTATTTCTGTACAGAGATTCTTTCTAAGATCTCAGGCTGAAAAACATAGAGGCGTCAGGAATGGCCCCTCTCCATTTATCTCTCCTAAAATCAGGCCAATGAAGTGAGCTATTGATCCCTTTTTCCCAGGATTCCACTAAGTCCTGGGTCTTAGCATTCTGGCAGGGGTTGAGGAGGACAAAGGCTCTTGTTCTCTAGTTCCTTCTATAAAATCCCCTCAACACCCCCCAATTACTGTGAGTACATGATATAAATCAGAGCTCCTTCCCAAGAAAGAACAATGATGGAGAGGAGATTGCCACAACACAACACATTGACAGCAACTGGATTCCAGACTTTGGAAGTAATAGAACAAAGATGGCCCCATGATGTCTCCCATTCTATTACTATTGGACACTACATCAAGGAAACATACAGAAGAGATAAACACAGGTAATACAACTCTATACTAAGAATGAGATCCATGCACAGTGCAAATCATGGTATTCCTCATACACTGAGACCTGACAGCATTTTTATAAATTAAATGGATGTTGGGCAATAGAAGGCTTGCTGGCACTCTCTGATGTTTTTCTGCATTCAAAGCTGCTCAGAACCATTCCACACACCCTGTTATTATGCACAATGATGACGCTGTTCATCTATATCCCTTTAGGTCCATTGGACTGACTGGTGGCTCCCTCTGGAGTGTCTCAGTGAACTCTCACTGCAAGGACTCGCAGAACAGATCAATCTTTGAGCTCATTATCCTGGGAAGAATCTGCTTCTCAGATGCCTTCATCCCTGCTAGGAAGCTGGATTCACTAGGACCAGTAAGTTAGGAGTGGCAGGTCCAGTGAGCTTGTCCACAGTGGCGGGAGTTGTGTGTCCCTTGCTCAGGCCTCAGTCTAGAGCAGGGGCTTAGTGAATACTTGTTAAATTCAACTCTAACCTTCTTCTCTGTAGATGGGATGTCTCCACCTCTGTATAGCTTCTTTTTGAGTTCCTCTCAGGATCGTGTCGATTCTCAACATCCACATAAGGCACAATTCTCTATTGGAAGTGTGACTAACACTTTGGGCATGGAATTTTGTTGCCTTTAAATTTAGTTTTCCAATTATAGATCTGCATCAGTCTGGCTTTCCTTTGTTTATTTGATACATCCCATACTGCTTTGAAGAAAATGATCCTCAAAGCTTTTTTTTTTTTCTGGCATATAGTATTTTTATACACCTTCTCCTCGGTGTGTGATTCTCTTGCACGGTTAGAAACAGCTGGGATGGTAGAGGCTGCAAACCTCTACCACATTGCCACATCGTGGCATTGTTCTCCCCTTGCATGCATCCAATATTCAAACCACAAGGAGGAAATTCATAGATACTATATGAAGCCTTTGCTTTTGACCGCATCAGGATCAGACACAGATCTGGGAGACAGAAAGAAACTGCATGTTCACTTGCTGGAGACCCCAAAGGTGTATTGGGACAGGAAACCTTCAGCTCATGTTGGCAGACTGACTATTCTTTAGGGTTGGTGGGTCACTCTACCCCTTATAAATAGAAGACCAGCAGAGCTATTGGACAGGAAGAGGACACTCAGAGACGGAGGGAAGATGCAAGGTGCCTCTTCCCAAAAGTGCAGTTCCAGGGTGTAGCAGTTTCACTCTACAGGCTTCTGAGCCCATGCGTTATGCTAGCACAAAGATAAGAATCTGGGTTAGTGCCTCTGTCCTAAGATACTGAGAAGCCAGAGTAGGAAGCCTGCATGCTGGTCTTCCTCGGTGGTGTTCTTAAGTTGTTTACCTGTACAAGCCTGCTGGAGAGATGCAGGCCTTGTCATGAAGTCCTCTGCTCTACTCAAGGCCAAGATCTTTTGGGAGGAGGAATGTACTCAGGGTTTTAGGGTAAATGGGAGAATGTCTGAGATGGATATTTACATGTTTTAGCAGTTGCTGTATCTCCAGGAGATGGGTATCACTGCTCCTACTTTATGATTACCATTTTTTTGTGAAACAAACAAACAAAAATGTATAGGATCATTGAACCATAGAATATTTAGATTCTAGAGGACACTTAGATGATTTAGTTCAGCCTCACTATTTTATACATGAGGACAGAGGCTCAGATAGATTAAGCCTGGCAAGTGCCTCCTGATTCTTGGTCAGAATAGACATTAGCTGGCATCCATAGACACACTCTACCAGCACAGATTGTTCAGGGTGGCCTCTGGGGATATAATGCAGAAGAGCCTGAGGCTCTCAATTCCATCATGTTTAAATGAACTGAATGAAATATTGAGATATTAAATAGGGGCAGACATATATCTTTCTTTCAAGGATGCTTAAAAGATGAAGTTAGATCTTTCATGCAGATTTTATGTGGCACATTCTTTTGTTCACCCTGTCTATTGAAGGCTGGAGCAATGTGAACCACCAGCTGAAGGAAGCTAATCTGAGGATGGGTGAGAATGACTTTACTGAATAAGACAAAGGCTCCAGGCAAACAGATCTCTGGGATCTGTTACTGTGCTGCAGAACTTACCCTTAAATAAGCACCCACATGCTGTCCAAGTCACTTCTAGAATCATGGAATGAATCACAGAAAAAATCTAGTTCAACCTCCTTATTTTACAAACTTAGAGAAGTTCAATTATTTGCTTTAGGTCACACAGCATGGGGATGGCAATGCCATGGATGAATCCAGATTGATTTTTTTTTTTTTTTGTACCAGGGATTGAACTCTGGACCTTGAGCTTACATGGCAGGTGACAGAATCACGGAGCTAAATCCCCAGGCCTAGATCAATTTTAGGATGGAATGCTTTTTCTAAACCATTCTGACCCTTCCAAAAGCTCCAATGTTAGGGTGTTTCTGACGTTTCCAAATCAAGGAAGTATCCATGCATGAATGAAGCAGGACAGAGGTGACCAAGGCCGCACCTGCTGGAGGGCCTGCTGCCTAGGACAGCATGTTAGAGTAGAAGCTGGAGCCCTCTGTCATGGTCTTGGAGCTGCTGCGTGAGGAGCCATTGGAGGTCAGGTCCAGGGATGAAGGTGTGGCCTTGGGGCCTTCCTCGGGATCCTCCTCATGGGCCCCAACCACTGTGGAGATGGTGGTTTCCAGGCGGCTGACTTTGTACATGCTACCCTGGGTCTGGAGATACCGGGTGGATTTCATTTCAAGGCCTTCATAGTCACCGGCGCTGATGAAGGGGCAGCACCGGAAGGCATGCTTGAAGCCCAGGCGGAACCTGGAGAGAGAGGAGATGGAGAGGTGACCCTTGGGGATGGCCTGCTTCCAGACTTTTCCCACCACTGCATCAGTTCTGCAACACATGGCACACTCAAGCATGACCCTCTGTCATTGTGCTTTAAATAAACTAACGAACATCTGGAGAGGCTGTGGTCAAAAAGATCAAGGTCAACTATCAAGGTCAAGTCCAAGACTAGAATCCAAGTTCGTGTGAAATGGATGTATTTCCTGATTGTGGTCCCTGGATTATGCTGCCTCCTCTGGTGTGGGATTAGAAGACTGGGTCAATTCAACATTAACAAAAACACTCACCAAGAGTTTTCTGTGTGTACCTTACTGTGCTAGTCACCAGGCTTATGGTAAAAACACATACTGAGTCTCAGTCCTTTCTCTCAAGTGGCCCACTGACTGCCATAGAGCTGTCTTCCAGTTGTGTCTTTTTAGCATGCCTCAGTTTCCCTGCTCGTTAAACAGCCATTACTTAAAGATGTTTAGGGAGATTTGCCCCCAAATTTTAAGCAGGTAGTGAAGCTCTTAGAAGAAGGATAAATGTATGAATTAGGTTAACAGAAGTCATTCAGGCAAGTTCAAGTCAGTGTTTTCCCCAGACTCGTACCTTATTGATGCCTGATTCACAGAAGGATCACCTCAGACTGATGACTGATGGATAGAAAGACTGCATCAATATTTTCATCCTCCTCTTCCTCTCTGGAGAGAGCTGGAGTGGTGCTCTGGATGGTAGACTGTGCTGCGGCCTGGCATCCCAGGCTTTCTTGGGAACCCTCTGCATGCCACGGTGGATTTCCTATCACTGAGCACCATTCCTGGTGGTTCTTCCTTTTCCCACTTATCTAAGACTGGTTTCTGCTGAAAGGATGCCTGCCTCCAGTCCATCTGACCATGTAAGGACAAGTAATGTCCTGCTGGAAATGCTAGATGAAACTGGGGAATGTTGCCCAAATTATACGGTGGGATGGGAAGAAGATCCACCTTACATGTGCCAATCACAGTGTTTTGTAATTTGATTTAATTTAGTTGCCAGTATTTATTTAAGGATCAGAAGATCTCAACAAAAATATGGATTTCTGGTTCCTCTTGGAAAACAAATGAAAACAGTCCATCTTGGGCTGATTCTTGCACAGCTATAACCAGCAGAGGCTGTATAGTATGGTGGTTAGTGAGTCCCCATCTCTCCCTCTTGTCTTATAGCCAGCTGTGCTCATTTATGTTGGCTGCTTAGGTTGTGGCCTCTGGAAAGGGTGTGGGGTAGCTTCCTCACCTGTCATTGAGGCAGCAGTAGATGATGGGATTGTACATAGTGGAGCTCATGGCCAGCCACATGATGGCCAGGTAGACCTGCTGGATAAACTTCTTTAGGTAGAGATCTGGGTTGATGTAGGGCAGGAGGAAGAAGATGTGGAAGGGAAGCCAGCAGATGGCGAAGGTGCACACCACTACGATCATCATCTTGACCACCTGGTGAGAGGGTGAGACAGGTGAGCACCTGTGCATTCTTCATCTCTCAAGGCTGCTCCCTGCCCCTCAATGCACGCAGTATGATACGGGGTGGGAGGTACTTATAATATGCCTTCCAAGGAGGAAGAAGGACCTTTAAGATCTGGTGCCAAAGGACTTGGGTTGTGTGGGTAGTTCTTGGAGTGTGGCCCTAGGATTTAGACCCTTGCCATCACTGGGGAGCTTGTTAGGGGTGCAAATCCCTGGGCCTATCCTAGACTTACATGGGATCAGAAACTCTGAGGAGGGACCCAGAACTCTGTGCTGCACCAACCCTTGAGATGGTTCTTATGTGCTCTCAATTCTGGGGCAACTATGTTATGTGACCCTTCTAGGCAATGGCTGAAGAAGCCAAGAGAGACCAATTGAGGAACAAGGGTGAATGGGTGTTCAGGAGGAGGAGGAACAGGAGGGTGAATGAGGAGAGAGGTGGTGAGCTTTTTCTGAGGACTGGAGGAGAGGGAAGGGGAAGCAGAGATTCTGACAACGGTAACAAAGGCTCATCCAGTGTTTAAATTAGGCTTAAAAGAGGGTCTTATGAAAACTGAGTGCTGTGGTCTGGATGTTTGTCTCCCCTCATGCCTCACATTCATATGTTAGAATCCTAAACCCAAGATGATGGCATTAGGAGGCGGTGTTTAGGAAGCCATTAGGTCTTGAGTGTAGAGCCTCAGGAATGGGATGAATGCCCTTACAAGAGGCTTGAAAGTCCCTTGCCTCTTCTATCATGTGAGGGAGGACACAGCAAGAAGGAACCATCCATGAATCAAGAAACAGCTCTAAGGAAACACTGAATCTGCTGGTGCCTTGATCTTGGACTTTAGAACCTCCAGAGAAATAAAACTTCAGTTGTTTACAAGTTCCCTGGTCAAAGATATTTTGTTATAATTGTAGAAATTGACAAAGATTCTGGATGATGTAAACTTCTTATCCCCACGAAATCTTTAGTGAAGGACACAGCATCCATACAATGAAATGCTATGCAAAGAAGTACAAAGCAGTGGAGAAAGGGATGAGAAAACTCATTATATATTGACTCTGGGATTCTTGAGGGTTTTAAGTGAAGAATGTGACAATAGTATGTATATACTATTTGTGTAAAGAAAAGAAAATAATATATATTTATTTAGTTTATGAATGTCATTATCTACAAGGGCTAGTAAGAAACAAATAACAGTGGTAACTGGGGTGTATGTTTCTGTGTGTGTATGTGAATAAGAGTGTGTATGTGTGTATACATATGTATGAGTGTGTATGTGTATGAGCGTGTGAATGTGTGTATGAGTGTAATAAAGAAAGGTCTCTCCTCTTCTTTCCTCCCCATACCAGGAAAAATTCTGCACCTGCTCCCTGGGGGGTTCACAGACCCCCCCCCCAACCCTGTGAGCCCACCTGCTGCCTGTGCTGGGGGTGGGGGTCAGGTGCTGTCTGCCTCTTGCTCACCTTGCGCTTGGCAGACACTTGCTCGTGGTACCGGTCAGAGGAGTCCCCGGGGATCTCACTGGCCCACAGTGTGATCCCCACTACTGTGTAGGCATAGCCGATCACCAGCAGGGGGAGGAAGTAGATCAGCACCGTCACACAGATGTGATACCTGCAGCAAAGTGGACAAGAAGTGTCAGTCTAAGAAAGAACAAGGGTAGTCCAGGCTTGACAGCAACCCTTCCCATCCTTTAGCACTATAAAGCTGGGCTGTGAGGCCTGCCACATACATAGGGTGAAAGGGTGACCAGCTAGAGAAAGCAAATCTCTCCAATTTATGTTCCCCTTGTGGACTTTTGCCATGATGGGGTTTATTGTTCAGATTGAAAAGAGAGAGGAAAAAAATAGATGATAGGGAACTGAATCTATTGTATACTTGTGGCAATTTAAACTAAAATTGTTAATTTTAATATTACTTACCCTTCATAACACAAGAATTCAAATCTAGGCTGCATAATTAGAAGTATATGCTGTACAATGAAGGAGGTGATTTTACCATGTAATTCATACTTGTAGACTAGTATATTTAAATGAGCACCACTATAGTTGATGAGTCCCAATCTTTGCTATGTGATGCAGGGGACTGCAATATTGATTATGTCCAAAGCAGGCTGTAAGCAGTGTAGACTGTGAAGAGTTAACCCCACAACTGGCCTGTTTTGAGAAGCAAGTCTGGCTGAAGCCTATATACTGAGATCAGAGTAACTCACACCCAAATTCTGTTTCCATAATTAAAACTTTCTTAACTAGAAGGACAGTGTTCTAATTACAATCATATATCTTGTCTATTCTGTACCTAATGCAAGAATGTTTTGTCTTGTCCTTTGCTTACATTAGTTTGCAAAAAAACTGCATGACTGAGCATCCTCACTCACACCCTTGCACATAGCTCCCCTTTACCCCAGTTGGTTACCAATAAAAAATCAGTGGCTTGGACTGGCACCAGCACATTGGTCATCCTGGCATCTCGCTCTATCGTCTCTCTTAGTTCTGTCTTTTAGGTCCCCCCCCCCCAGGCTTGCATTGTACACTGAGCAGGAGACTGGAGCCTACTGCAGAGGTTTTTAGTAATGTTTCAGTGGTCCCCAGTAATGTGACAAATAGATTCATGGATAGAAGAATAATTACCTTGGAGAGTTAAGACTAATTCTAGAACTTGGATCCATGGGTGAAATCCACCAAGTGTAAGTTTCTAAGCCTAGCCTTTAGGAATATACTCTAGTTAGATTTCTGCCTGGATCTCTAAGTCAACACTTGAAAGACAGGCAGACACCACCTGACTCATATTTAACTAGACATGAGCAAGAAATAAATCTCTGCAATGTTAAACCACAGCGTTTTGGAGTTTTGTTGTAGCAGCATGGATGATTATCTTATTCTGTGTACAGCAAGGCTTCTTCTCGGTAGCAGACTCAAATATGCTTTTTGAATTTTGAGCACAAGTGTTTTTCTCAGGGGGTCCTTGGCTTCTCTGGCAAGCTGTAGCCTTCTTCCCAGATGTGAGCATAATAGAGAGGCTCTGCACTTCCAGTAGCAGTTACAACAATGATGAGGACAGCTAATATCTTGGGAGACTTATTCTAGTGCAGTGCTGTGGTGTGGGTATGGTTTGAACCTCAAAGGTTCATGTGCTGGACCCTTGGTCTGCAGGGCGGTGGTTTTGAGGTGGTGAGACCAATAAGAGATGGGCAAGGGGAGGTTCATAGGTCTTGGAGTTGCACCCTCATGGATGGATCATGCTGTCTCCTGGGAGTGGGTCAGTCTCACGGGACTAGATCCCACAAGAATGGGTTGGCACAGGGAGCCTCCCACTTCCCCTAACTCATGCACATTAGCCCCCATTATTGCACATGCCCCTGCCACTATGATGTAACCCACCATAAGACCTGCACCAGAGCTGACCAAATGCAGTGCCCTTGAGCTTTTAGAACTGTGAACTAAATGATCCTCTTTTCTCTATAGAGTACCCAACCTCTGGAATTTTATTACAGCAACACAATATAGACCACAGCTGCCACTGTGCTAATAATAATATTAATGGCAGCAATAGTAACAGAAATGGTAACTTTGGAGAATTTATGAAGAGAACAGTGCCAAGCATTTTACTATCATTCTTTTATATATAAAATCCTTTCAGTGAGTAATTAGGTAGGGGCTATCGCAATCCCACTGTGTAGATGAGGAAATTAAATTTTAGAGTTTAATTAATTTGTCTAAGTTCACAACTGATAACAGGAGGAGTTGGGTGCAGGATGAGGTCTCTGCCCCCAGAGCCAGCTTCTTGCCTTTGGAAGAGTCACTGACTGATTATTTCCTTCTATTCTGGATACCGCTTGTGCTGATTCTCTGCAATGATTTTCTTTCAAAAAGGAAAGCCCACTTATCCATTTAATTTCTCCTTTATCGATACTCCACTTGCTTTCAATCTCTACTTTGTAAAGCCCTGCAGCTTTGCTACTTATACATCCACTTCTGACTATTAAAATTTGCAATTTGAAAATACTTGAAGAATTCTTAAAAACAATGAGCCACAGATTCAGCAAAGCAGAGCACAAGTGCATCTCTTCTGTGCAGATGGGGTACTCCTGGCGCAGCAGGCTCTCCAGGTCGCTTGCATTGTCATCTTCTCCAGCCACCACAGTAGTGGCTACATGGTGCGCTTCCTCCCAGATCTCAGTCCCTCCTCCAGGCTGCTGTAATGACAGCATTTATGAGCAAGGCGTTTAGAGACTCCAGCAGCAGAGCCAAAATGAGAACATCCATTAGGCTCAATGTCTCTTTCCTGTGAGAACAACCCTGTTTCCTGCAGCCTGACACTTGCTCAGGGGCCTATTCATGTTAGCTGATCCTCACAGGCCTCGGAGCCTTAGCACGACTGTTGGGTCAGGGTTGTGTTGAGAGGATGCTGCTGTCAGACCATGCTTCTTTCCCCAGGTCCGTGGTACTCTACTTGAGTGGGCCTCAGAATTCCCTGGGGCATTGGGCAATGGCACAGGACTGAGCCTCAGCCTGGGTTCTTGGCTCAGCAGCTCTGGGTGGGCCTGAGGGTCTGCATGGATAACATGTTCCTAGGAGATGCTGCTCCATGTCTGTTTCAGATTCTGGGAAACCTTGTTGCAGACCAGCACATGATGAAATGAGAACCAGCACAGAGCTTTACAAATGACCACTGCCCAGAGGTGTTCACTTATTTGGTCTGGGTGTAGGGGCAGGAAACTTGTTTTATTCCAATAGAGGACGAACATTGAGAATTATTGTTCATACCCTACATCTACAGTACCTCTGAGGCTCTACTTGGCCTCCACTGTTATTTGTGATTTAGAGACTTCAATAATGTGTATAAACATGGTTTATGGTGTCTGTATCTGATACTTTGGCATCTGAGGCTGGCTCCATGGTCTTGCCTGTCCTTTCCAGGTCTAGCCAATTTATAGAGATAACAAAAGACTCTCTTATCATCTGGCTTTCACATGTAAACTAAGAACCCATATCCTTGCTTGCTTTATGGGGCTTTTTCACTATATGATATTGTTCTCCTGTCTGAATTACCCAAGCCAAGCATCAGTCTATTAGGCAGCTCCTGAACCTCAGAGCCCACTGAAGTTAGTCAAGCTACTAATCCTAAACCTGTCTACCCTGCCTCCTTGGCTCTTTCCTGAGAAAATCCTAATTAAGCCTTTCTTTGTAGTATGGAGCCGTGCCCTTTCATCCTGAGAATTGTGAATAACAAAATACCTTTTCAATGGCAAACATGTCTGGTATGTTGGTCTTATCATACCTAAATACAAAATAAATATTTAAAAACAATATACCTTTTGGGAAATCATGAATCAAGTCATTAAAAATGCTAAGAGGAAGCAGTAAACATAATTTATCAGTCCTGTTTTTCAAAGAAAGCAAAGTAACTCAGTCATTTATTTGAGAACACAAAAATATACACTTAAGTTCAGTTAAAAAGTCAGGTAGAGTATTGCTTTTCCATGCTCAATAAGGATAATTAAGAAGAGCATAACAATATGATTCAGCAGGTCTTTTTCTAGGTACAGACCCAGAACAATAAAAAGGCTAGACCAAAACAGATACTTATATACCAACATTATTCACAACGTCTAGAAAGTGGAAACAAAATTCACCCTTAAAAAAGAATGGAGTTCAGTCATATTGGTAAACTTCGCAAACATTATGTTGAGTGAATGAACTTGCCATAAAAGGACAACTATTGTAGAATTTCACTTATATGAAATATAGGGATAGTTGTACAACATTGTGAATGTTCTTAATGCCACAAATTGCATGCTTTAAAATAGTTCAAAGGGTAGATATATTATATAATGTATATTTTATCACAATTAAATAATTACATAAAAATTCAGTCTAGCTAGGATCCTAGGTATCCAGATTTGCAGTCTTCTGGTCCTCTGACCACTCTCCAACAATCCTCTTTACAGAGGTAGGTTGACGCCTTCGATGAGATCAAATGTTAACCACATCCTCGTAAGTCTTGGTCAGATAACTCTTATTGCATAGTAACTGCAAATGCTCAATCCAAACAGTATTCAAATTATCAAAAATTCTGTATGAATGTAAGCCAAATGAATGAAATTGCATCATTAGAAAATATGAAAGTAAATACATTTCTTTCACTTTGATAATTTTTTGAAGAAATTTTACCATATTGTAGTTAATTGATATTTGGTAAATATATATGCTAAAATTATTGTTTTGGAGATCTGATCAATGAACCAGGGTAATCTTATTCTTTTTTTTCAATTAAATTCTTTTATTGGTACATTGTAGGTATACAACACAATTACATTTCTCATTGGGAATTGTACCTTTACATAATGCAT